CAGCCGGGCTCCGTGCCCAAGGTCAACCGCTCCATGCAGAACTGGCACCAGGTGAGGGGCCGGCGGGCGGAGGGACCCCGGCGGGCGGGCGGGCGGACCCGGGTCCCCTCACCGTCCATCTCCTGCCTCCCCCTAGCTAGAAAACCTCTCCAACTTCATCAAGGCCATGGTTGGCTACGGCATGAACCCCGTGGACCTGTTCGAGGCCAACGACCTGTTTGAGAGCGGGAACATGACGCAAGTGCAGGTGTCTCTCCTCGCCCTGGCGGGGAAGGTGAGGCCCAGAGATGGGTAGCTGCCTGCCCAGAGTCACACAGCGAGGTCGACGTGCATTTACAGATTCGTTCCTCTGCGGATGTTCCTGAGCGCCCGCGAGGCGCCGGGCCCTTGGGGTTCAACGGTGGACGAGGCAGACGCGGCCCACCCCGTTATGGGCTCGCCGTCTGATAGAGGAGCAGCCAGTGAACAAACTTTTGTTTGTTTGAAAAAAGCTTTATATTTTGGAGCACTTTTGGGTTCACAGCAAAAGTGGGCACAAGGCACAGAGATTCCCCATATATCCCTGGCCCCCACTCGTGCACAGCCTCCCCGCCGTCAACGTCCCGCGTGGAGTGGGACACTTGTTACAATCGAGGGCCCCCCGTTGGCACCTCGTTATCCCCCAGAGTCCCGAGTTTACCTTAAACTCACTCTTAAGTCATTTTTTCTAAGTTATAAATTGTGAGAAGTTATCAATTGAAGGAGAAGAGTGAGACTGATGTCTAGGGTCTGGGGACCCTTAAACCGAGACCAGGGTGGGTTGGAACAGTGTTTCAGGAGGAGGGACCAGCACAGCCGTGACGGGGGGACAGGAGGAGGTTTGGGGTCCGTGAACTGTGTCCTGAATGGTGTTCTCAGGAGCCCCCTGTGGCTGCCACGTGGGGAGTGGAGCGGGGGGCCCGGGAGGAGCCGGGGGCAGGCGTCCAGGGGAGAGATGGTGGCCGTGGCCTGGACGGGTGGGCGGGGGGTTGGGTGGAAGGAGGTGATGGAAGGTTGGGGGGCAGGGACGCCCCCAAATTCTTGGCCTGAGCAACTGGAAGGCAGGGGCCACGGGGACCGGGCGAGTCTGACAGCTGAGGTGTCGGCGGTGGACGGGGCAGGTTGCAACCCCCTCCCCGTGTCCCCCGGGTTCGCACGCTCCAGGCTGGGTCCAGGCCTCCGGCCGCCCCTCCCTGACGCTCCCCACGCTGCCCCCTCCAGGCCAAGACGAAGGGGCTGCAGAGCGGCGTGGACATCGGCGTCAAGTACTCGGAGAAGCAAGAGCGGAACTTCGACGACGCCACCATGAAGGCAGGCCAGTGCGTCATCGGGCTCCAGGTGGGCGCCGGCCCCTCCGCCCCCGGGGCCCTCGGGGGCGTGGGCTTCTGATGCAACGCCCAGGCCCCGTCCAGCCCGGTGGCCCCTCGAGTGCGGGGCAGGGTCTCGATGCCTGGCGGGGCAGCCTGACCTCTCCTGCCCACCTCCCCGCAGATGGGCACCAACAAGTGCGCCAGCCAGTCGGGCATGACGGCCTACGGCACGAGACGGCACCTATACGACCCCAAGAACCATATCCTGCCGCCCATGGACCACTCGACCATCAGCCTCCAGATGGGCACCAACAAGTGCGCCAGCCAGGTGGGCCTCACCCCGCCCCCCAAACCCACGGCCTCATCCCTGTCGCTGAGTCCCCACTCTGGTCTCCCTCCCCCTCTCTGGTGGTGCCTTCTCTGTCTCCGCCTGGGCTTACTGTGTGTCCCCAGGGAAGTTAGTCCCCAGCTCCGTGCCTCAGTTTCCCTCAAAGGTTTGCCCACAGGCCCATCTAACTCTGACACCTTTAGATCCCGTGGTTCACACGTTCCTGCCATGTCACGTGTGTCAGTGTGACGGTCGTGGAGCTCTCAGGTTCCCAGGAGGCCTAAGCCCCAAGGGGGAGCTTCCTGGCTGGCAGGGGGAGCTGGACGCAACACCCCTGGTTCCCAGGGAGAGGGTTGCTGGTCGTAGAGTCAGAAAAAAGAGTGTCTGAGCTGGGCTTTGAAGGGTCCATAGGAGTTTGTGCCACGAGTACAAAGACAGGGCGATGGGAATCTGGCAGTTCTCCTCTCTTCTTGGGGTCTCCGTGTTCCATCTTCTTCCTGCCCTGATGCTCTGCTCCCTCTCCAGGTGGGCATGACGGCGCCCGGGACCCGGCGGCACATCTATGACACCAAGCTGGGGACAGACAAATGTGACAACTCCTCCATGTCCCTGCAGATGGGCTACACGCAGGGTGCCAACCAGAGTGGCCAGGTCTTTGGCCTCGGCCGGCAGATATACGACCCCAAGTACTGCCCACAAGGCCCAGCGGCTGACGGGGCTCCAGCGGCCGCTGGCGACTGCCTGGGCCCAGGGGAGGCCCCAGAGTACCCCCCCTACTACCAGGAGGGGGCAGGCTACTGAGGCGCCCGCACAGGGCGTCTCCCCACATCATCGCCCCGTCTGGGTTTTTGGGTTTTTCTGTGTTTTCATCTTGTTTTTCTACATGTCCGAGTGCTGCTGCCGAGGGTCTGGGGGGAGAGGGTGAAGGCAGTCTCCAGATGCGGGTGGGGTGGGGGTCTGGTCAGGGCTCGACCGGCAGCAAATTTCCCAGCAGGCTTTGGGCCCAGCTGGGGGGGTGGGGGAGAAACCTGGGCAGGTAGGGGAACTGCCCCGAATGGTTTCCGGTTGCTTCTTTTTCTGTTCCCTTTTCTCTGCCGAACAGTTTGTGGTTTCTGTACCCACAGAAGTTTCAGGCAGTTTTAACAAAAGAAAAATACTTCTTTTTTTCAGGGGAATGGTGGGGGGATGGTGCAGGGGGTGCTGGGGGCGGACTAGGTCCCCTGGGGGAGGGCCGGGTCACAGTCCCGAGATGTTTTAGGTGTTGGGAGGGACTGGATTTCCTGAGGACCCTCAGGCCGCCAACCCCGGGGGGAAACTGAGGCCCAGACAGCACAATGGAGTTCTGAGTGACTGAGACAAAGCCAGACGCCCCCCCACCTCCATACTTGTCCCTCCCCAGCCCCCTCACCGAGTACTGCACGGTGACCCCCACCCTGAGGCCCTCCCAGAGACCAGCCCCCACCAGGGAGCCCTGGGACCAAGAGATAATGTGAAATACCAACTGTGGACCAAAGGCAATAAAACCTCTTTCTAGGAAAAGAAGGTGCTGGCAGAGTTGGTGTCCAAGGCTGCCTGGGGAGGTGTTGGCGTCGGGAGGGTGGTGGCCTGGGGTGGGGGGCAAGGGGGTGACTGTCATTCTAAGCCAGTCCCCACAGCTGCCTCGGGAGAGGGAGAAGCTAGGGCCCAGGGCACGGTGACTGTGGCTCCCAGAAATGGTTTGAGGGCCAGGACCTGGGGTTGGGGAAGTGGCTGGGCCTCCTGGCTGGTTAGAAAGAAAGTGGGGGCCTCAACGCCACCCCTGTCTGGACGCTGCAACATCCAGCCTCCTGCCCTCTGTGCATTCGCTCTGCCTGGAGTTCCCTCCCTGGAAAACTCCTATTCATCCTCAAAGCCCCAACACCAAAACCACCTCCTCTGTGGAGCCCTCCACACCTCTCCCTTCCCCGCGCCTTCAGAGCTGTGCGTCCACACACTTGTTTCACCTTCACCACGACCTTGTGAAATAGACCCAGTTTTCCAGAGTGGGAAACAGAGCTAGAGGTTTTCCTCAAAGTGGGGGTGACCATTGTGACCCAGGACTTGATCTTAGAATGTTGGGGGCCCTCTCCCCCTTATGCCATTGCCTGGCCCACTGTAGGGACCAAGGAATGTTTGTTGGATGAACGAATGAACGAATGACTAGTTGAACCCTCATTATCTGGATGGAAGTCTGGCAGGGCTGGGGGGCAGGGCTAAAGAGACCTCCTGCGACCGGGAGCTGCGGTATTGCAGGGGGCTATGCGACGTGGGGAGACAGCCCGGCTGGTATGTCCGGAGGCGGGCCACATATGGCGAGCCAGGCGCCCCGCCGCCTCACGGTGATGCAGCAAGAAGCGAGCGGTCCCTTTAAGAAACCCGGCTGGGTGTGGCCCCGCCTTCCCCCTTGGCGCGCGGGGCTCCGGCTGGCCCAGCCCGTGAGTGGCGGAGACGCCGGCCAATGGCAGCGGGCGAGGGCGGGGCCGGGCGCGGCCGCAGGCACCGGATGCTAGGTAAGGTCGGTTTCAGGGGCGCCGCGCCCGCCCGGGGGCTCCTCTTAAAGGAGACGCGCTCCCCGGCCGCTGTCGGGCTCAGGGAAGGCAGCAAGAGCTGAGGGCTGGAACGGTGAGAGGGTCCGGAGAGAGAGGAAAGCCTGAGACTCGAGAATGCGGGAGTCGGGGTGGATGGGACGGAGGCAGGTTCCCGGGGAATTAGGGGTGCAGGCCGTGTCCAGACTCTTACCTTCACCCCTTGCATGTGAGTGTCGGGCGGCGGCAGAACTGATCCCTCATTCTCACTGGGGAGACTCGGCATGAGACTCAGCTGAGAGGGGCTGTGCCATCATCCACCTGCAGCCCCTCCCCTTAGAACTCCTCCCAGCCCTCTGCCCCCATTTTACAAATGGGGAAACTGAGGCCGCTCCCCCCAGATCCCACGTGATGTAAAGAGAGTCCTGGGTGGGGGTCGCGGGTCCTGGGTCCTAGTTCCCGCCTCGTATGTGACCTCTGGCAACTCCCTGCCCCTCTGGCGGCCTCAGTTTCCCCATCTGTACAATAATGAAGGAGGCCGCAGCTTGACAGTTCCAAGCGAGCGACGGGATCAGGAACCGCTGGTTCCAGGAGCCTCCATCGCTACCGCTTCTCCTAACTCATTTTCTGGATCTTGTGGTTCTTCTAGTGATAAATAATACATGAGGGGTGGGCAGAGCTGGGGGCCCCGCCTGCAGCTGGGTGACTCTGCCTGTCTCTCTGAGGGCCTGGGTTCTCCCCCTCTTCCATCCAGACGTGTAAAATGTTCAGCACAGTAAATACTCGTTGGGAAAGAGCGGGGGAGAGAAGGGGATCCTTCCCCGGACCAGAGGTGAGGCTGGGGGCCCGGACCTGGAGGCTCCCAAGTGGGGCTTAGGGCGGAGCCTGGCGATGAAGGGGTTAAGCCGAGGTTCCGCCCCCTGAAGAATTAATTGATTGCCTTTGGGACCCGACGCTCCCCTGCGGAGAGCGACAGCCCCGGCAACCAATCAGAGGCGAGACTGCTTCGGGCAGGGCTCCCATTGGCTCGCTCCACCCATCCGAGGAGAGGGGCGTCCTTTTAAAAGTGCCCACTATCTGCCCGGCTCTAGGGAGAGGTTTCAGGAATCATGCGCAGTGGGATACAGGAATGACGTTCAGAGAGGGACAGGGAGTTGCCGCAGCCACACAGCACGTCCTCAGCCTGACCCCTCCGTCCTGCCCCCTGTCCGCTGTCCATTCCCACCATGGCCTTCTGGACGCAGCTGATGCTGTTGCTTTGGAAGAATTTCCTTTATCGCAGGAGACAGCCGGTAATGCCCGGGCGGGTGGCCCAGGGCGGGGCGGCCCAGGCGCACCCCGCTGTCCCCCACTATCCCCGCCTGTTCTGCACCCCCCAGATCCAGCTCTTGGTGGAGTTGCTGTGGCCTCTCTTTCTCTTCTTCATCCTGGTGGCTGTCCGCCATTCCCACCCCCCATTGGAGCAGCACGAATGTAAGCCCCCCCAGGGTGCAGACCCTCTGTGTGTGTTGGGGAGCAATAGGGCACCCTATCCATAGGGCCCCGGTGAGCGGCAGGGAGCACGGACCGGGCACCCAACACAGGGCTGAGAGTGAGCGCTCTGCCCTGGGAGTGTGTGATCACGGTGGGGACTCAGACGAGGTGCCCGGTCCCCGCAGGCCACTTCCCCAACAAGCCGCTGCCCTCGGCGGGCACCGTGCCTTGGCTCCAGGGCCTCATCTGCAACATGAACAATACTTGCTTCCCGCGGCCCACCCCCGGCGAGGAGCCCGGCGTGCTCAGCAACTTCAACGACTCCCTGTGAGCCGGCGGCAGCGGGTGCGGGGGCCATGGGCTCGGGGGTGCCTGCTGGGCCCCAGCCTCCTCCCCTCTCTCTCTGCTTCCAGGGTCTCCCGGCTCCTGGCAGATGCCCGCACTGTGCTGGGGGGCCCCAGTGCCCACCGGACGCTGGCCGGCCTGGGGAAGCTGATGCCCACGCTGAGGGCTGCACGCAGAGCAGGTGAGGAGGCCAGGTCTTCCGGGCCTCGACCTGCCTGGCTGTGAAATGGGCGTGCGGTGGGGGCATCTCGGGCCAAGCTCTGCCTGACTACTTCCACTCTTTCCTCTCCCAGCCCAGCCTCTGCTGAGTGACTGGCCACAGGAAGGACTGCCCCTGGCTGCTGAGCTGTTGGGGACACTGCTTCGAGGGGTGAGGTGGGGCAGGGAGAGACCAGGCTGACTCTGGGATGCTGCTCTCAGGAAGCCCCTGCACTGCCCCATCCTGGGTCGGGCGCCTCCCTTGGGGGCCTCTGAGGCCAGCCTCCAGGCCCCTGCCTGGGCTGTCCTGGGCACCCGGAGTGATGTTCTTTGTCCTTTCAGTGCCCAGATAGGCCGTGTCTGGCGTGGTGGTGGAGACTCCAGCCCGTGACTCCTTGCATGGGGCCACATGCCTCTCAGAACCTCAGTTTCCCTATTTGTAAAACGGGGTCTATGACAGTAGGGACCGCCTGGGGCTTGGCAAAGTACTTGATCCCTAGAGACCTCAGTCAAGGTCACTGTCACTCTTGTTGTCTTTCTCCCCAGGAATTCCTGGGGTCTGAGCTAGGCCAAGCCCAGGAGTCTGTGGGCAGCTTCGTGGAGGCAGCAGAGGACCTGGCCCAGGAGGTAAGAGGTCCCTCATCCTCGACCCCAGCCGGGACACTCTAAGGCTTGGCGGCCTAGATGGGGAGGTGACAGGGCACCCCAGGCACTTCCTTGGGTAGGTTTTTTGGGGGGACTTGGCAGGAGGAGAGGGAGAGGGTGCTACTGGAGGGGTGCCCCATCCCGGTTAAGGCTTGGTAGGAAGACCTCGAGGGAGGGAGCACAGTCAGCGCCCTCTGGGGACCTCCCCCCAGCTCCTGGCGCTGCCCAGCCTGGCGGAGCTGCAGAGGCTGCTGCGGAGGCTCCGAGGGACAGATGGCCCTCTGGAGGTGGTGTCAGAAGCACTCTGCAGTGCCAGGGGGTCTAGCGTCCCTGGGGGATTCTCCTTCAACTGGTACAAAGCCAGGGACCTGAAGGAGCTGGTGGGGCAGGAGGCGGCACCGGCCCTACCCGAGAACACCCTGAGTAAGCGACTGACCTCGGCTTCCTGGTGGGGGAAGTGGGGCGGTGGGCACGGGGGCAGGGCCTCATGGCGCCCCCACCCCAGGCCCTGCCTGCACTGAGCTGATGGGGGCCCTGGACACCCACCCTCTGTCCCGCCTGCTCTGGAGGCGCGTGAAGCCGCTGGTCCTCGGGAAGCTGCTGTTTGCACCTGACACACCATTCACCCAGCAGCTCATGGCCCAGGTGAGGGTGGGCGGGTCACGGGCCCCTCCCTGAGCCCAGGTGGGTGAGGGCCAGGCTGGAGGGAGGGCTGGGACCCGGAGGCTTCCTGGGGTGGGCCATGGAAGCACGTGTTGACGAAGTAGGAGTTTGCAGGATTGCAGGCAGAGGGACCAGCATGTGCCTGCGCTCCCAGACACAGGATGGAGTAAAGTGGAGGAGGCAGGAGAGATGGGCAGGGGTCCCCAGAGGAGGGGAGGGCCGTGAACAGGCATTGGTCCTGGCGCCCGTCTCCCGCAGGTGAACCGGACCTTCCAGGAGCTGGCTCTGTTGAAGGACGTCCAGGAGGTGTGGGGGCTGCTGGGACCCCAGCTCTTCAGCTTCATGAACGACAGTGCCAATGTCGCCATGCTGCAGGTGCGGCCAGGATGGAGGGCAGCAGATCCATCCCCAACCCATCCTTGCTGAGGATTTGGGTAAAGGGCAGGGCCGCTTGCACACGGGTGTGGAGGTGGGATGTGGTGTCCATGGTGAGGACAGGCCCCGGAGATGGGAGAGGGATGATAATGCCCAACGCAGACGCCCAGCTTCCCCTGCCACCCCCCAGAGGCTCCTGGAAATTCAGGGCACAGGAAAGAGGCAGCCGGGACCCGGAGCCCAGAACCGGACGGAGGCCCTTCGTGCCTTTCTGGACCCCGGTGGGCGCGGCTACAGCTGGCAGGACATGCACACTGATGTGGGGCACCTGGTGGGCATGCTGGGTCATGTGATGGAGGTGAGGGGGTGTTCACTTGGGAAACTGGGGTTCACCCAGCTCACCCTGTGGGGGTCCGATGGAGGAGCCAGCCCCACCCTGGGGCTCTGAGGAGGGAGCACGGCCCTGCCGCGAGGTCCAAGGGGAGGCCCTGGGTGCCTCGGACCCACGCCCACGCCCACGCCCCTCTGCAGTGCGTGACGCTGGACAAGCTAGAGGCGCTGCCCTCGGAGGGCGCCCTGGTGGTGCGGGCTCTGGAGCTGCTCGCCGAGCGCCGCTTCTGGGCGGGCGTCGTCTTCCTGGGGCCCGAGGACCCGGGGGACCCCGCGCCGCTCCCAGGCCCCGGCCACGTGCGCATCAAGATCCGCATGGACATCGACGACGTCATGAAAACCAATAAGATCAGAGACAGGTGGGGGCGTGGCCTGTGGGGCGGGGCGAAGAGTGTGGTGGGCGGGGCTGTGGCATACCACCTATTGGAGACCATGGTAGGCGGAGCCCAGGACTCCTTAGACCAATTGGGGCCATGGTGGGCGGGGCCGAAAGCATAAATGAGCCCGCGGGTGAGGGCGGAGCTAAGATTGTGATGGGCAGGGCTGGGAGTTCCCGGCCGCTCGTTACTGTGTGGACCACGATGCCGCAGGTTTTGGGACCCCGGCCCGGCCGCTGATCCCCTAACGGACCTGCGCTACGTGTGGGGCGGCTTCGTGTACCTGCAGGACCTGCTGGAGCGCGCGGCCGTGCGCGTGCTCAGCGGCGCCGCGCCCCGCGCCGGCCTCTACGTGCAGCAGATGCCCTACCCGTGCTACGTGGACGACGCGTGAGCGCCCCAGCCGTCCGAACCCGGGTCCCGGGGGGGACCCCGACTCCGTTTGCAACGCTCACGCAGTCAAGGCTGCAAACCCCGCGGCCCGTGGCGGGAGGAGCAGGGATCCCCGAGGGCCGGGGGTCTCCGGATGCCGGAGAACGTGGCCTGTGCTGACCGCTGGGACCCTGAGGCTAGATCAGGGGCCCGAGGATAAGGGAGGGCGAATGTCCAGGGCTGGCTGCGTCTTGGGATCCTGAGAGGCCAACGCGGTGCCAGACGGGGGCTGCACAGGGTCTCTGCCCCCACCTCTGCCGCCCCGCACCCCCAGGTTCCTGCGCGTGCTGAGCCGGTCGCTGCCGCTCTTCCTCACGCTGGCCTGGATCTACTCGGTGGCGCTGACGGTGAAGGCCGTGGTGCGCGAGAAGGAGACGCGGCTGCGCTACACGATGCGCGCCATGGGGCTTGGCGGCGCCGTGCTGTGGCTCAGCTGGTTCCTCAGCTGCCTCGGGCCCTTCCTCTTCAGCACCGCGCTGCTCGTGCTGGTGCTCAAGGTGGGCGCGCCTCGGTCTTCCTGGCTGCAGAATGGGCGCGCGCGCGGGAGGGTGGCAGCCAGGAGGCGCCTTGTGTTGTGCGCGCCCCTGGGCAAATCTGGGCGCCTTTGCCTCCCGCAGCTCGGGGATATCCTCCCCTACAGCAACCCGGCCGTGGTCTTCCTGTTCTTGGCGGCCTTCGCCGTGGCCACGGTGGTCCAGAGCTTCTTGCTGAGCGCCTTCTTCTCCCGCGCCAACCTGGCGGCCGCCTGTGGGGGCCTCGCCTACTTCGTGCTTTATCTGCCCTATGTGCTGTGCGTGGCCTGGCGGGACCAGCTGCCCGTGGGTGGCCGGGTGGCCGCGGTGAGAGCCGGGCCGGGCCGGGCGGGGTGTGGGACACCGTCAGGTGCTCGCTCGCTGACCCGCTCACCCCCATCGGCAGAGCCTTCTGTCGCCCGTGGCCTTCGGCTTCGGCTGCGAGGGCCTGGCGCTGCTGGAGGAGCGGGGCGAGGGCGCGCAGTGGCACAACATGGGCACCGGGCCTACGGCCGACGTCTTCAGCCTGGCCCAAGTGTCAGGGCTTCTGCTGCTCGATGCCGTGCTCTACGGCCTCGCCACTTGGTACCTGGAGGCCGTGTGCCCAGGTGGGGACTCCCGGCTGGGGCGTATCCGCACGAGGGAGGCGGGGCTGAGGGGCTGTTTGGTACCTGGAGGCCGGTCGGAAGTGAGAGGGTGGGGCTTCCTGGCGCATGCGCATAGGAGGCTGCGTTTGCGGGGCGGCCTGGGCCGGTGGGCGGAGTTTCTTGGTCACCTCCTATCTGGATGCCGTGATCCCAGGTGTGTGGCCAGAGCTGGCACACTCCAGGGGGATGGGCTCCAGGGGCAACTGAGCACCGCTCCCCCCAGGCCAGTACGGGATCCCCGAACCGTGGAACTTTCCCTTTCGGAGGAGATACTGGTTCGGACCTCGGCCCCCCAAGGGTCTCGCCCCGCCCCCCGCCCTGCAAGACCCGGAGGGTGAGGCCCCGCAAGCCTTAGCAGCCGCTTCCCCGTCTGGATGCCCCAGGTCCCCCAAAAACCAGATTCCCACAGATCCCAATCCCCAGGCGCCCGGGGGCTCCCCTAACTCCTACAGACCCCAGCCCGACAGGTCCCCCACTCTGCAGACCAGCTTTAACGGGCTCCCCCGACGGAGTCTGCCCTCCTTCCACAGTGCTGGTGGAAGAGGCGCCGCCCGGCCTGATGCCGGGGGTCTCCATTCGGGGCTTGGAAAAGCGCTTTCCTGGCAACCCGCAGCCCGCGCTGCGCGGGCTCAGCCTGGACTTCTACCAGGGCCACATCACCGCCTTCCTGGGCCCCAACGGGGCCGGCAAGACCACTACGCTGTGAGTGGCCGCCACCGCCCTCCCCGCCCCTGGGCCCCAGCTTGCACATCTGTTCAATGGGAAAGGCGTCTGGGGTCGGGAGGTTCCCGTGTCAACAGTGGGAGGGGACCCTCTGTTTGGGTACACAGTAGGCAGGCGATACATGTTTTCTCTGAGCCTCAGTTTCCCTCCCCAGTAAAATGGGGACGTCACACTCCTTTGGTCCGTGCATACAGTAGGTGCCCTTTAAGCGCTGGTGCCCCTTCTCTGGGGGCCTCAGTTTCCCCCTCCGAAGGAGCAGCTGCTCTGAGACCCCTGCACCCGCAGGTCCATCCTGAGTGGCCTCTTTCCGCCCACTCGTGGCTCCGCCTGTGTCCTGGGCCATGACGTCCGGTCCGGCATGGCAGCCATCCGGCCCCACCTGGGCGTCTGCCCGCAGTACAACGTGCTGTTCGACATGTGCGTCTCGGGGGGCCCCGGGGCAGCGGTGGGAGGCCCGGGGGTGCTCGGGGACCCGCCTGCCATGGTGGCCGCTCTGTTCCTCGCCCATGGCCGCAGGCTGACCGTGGACGAGCACGTCTGGTTCTATGGGCGGTTGAAGGGTCTGAGTGCAGCTGCCGTGGGCCCCGAGCAGGACCGTCTGGTGCAGGACACGGGTCTCGTCCCCAAGCGGCGAGCGCAGACGCGCCACCTCTCCGGTGAGCCCGGCCTGGAGTGGGGCTGGGACTTCATCCCAAGGGAGGTGGGAAGCTAGAGGAAAAGGGCGCGTCTGGGGGACCCAGGAGGAGCCAGGCACTGCGGTCCAGGTGGGTGGGGGAAGGGGCGTGGAGGGGGGGCAGCCCTGCCCAAGACTGGGGGGGTCATGCTGAGATCTGGACACCTGTCCCCTCCCAGGTGGGATGCAACGGAAGCTTTCAGTGGCCATCGCCTTTGTGGGTGGCTCCACGGTGGTCATCTTGGACGAGCCCACAGCTGGTGTGGACCCTGCTTCTCGCCGTGGTATTTGGGAGCTGCTGCTCAAATACCGCGAAGGTGAGAGTTAGGGGTGACCCAGGGTTCCCCTGGATTCTGCTTGAGGGGCTAGAAAAGGTTTCTGAGAAGGAGATAAGTTTCCTGTTGAGGAGGTGCTGGGATGGGGTTTTGAGGGATGAATAGGAGTTTACCACACAGGGCAGGCAATTCTTGGCAAAGGCCACAGCTTGGGCAGAGACCTGTGGCTTGAGGGTACACGTGGGTTGGGTCCCTGTCACCAGGTCGCACACTGGTCCTCTCCACCCATCACCTGGACGAGGCGGAGCTCCTGGGAGACCGCGTGGCGGTGGTGGCGGGCGGCCGCCTGTGCTGCTGTGGCTCCCTGCTCTTCCTGCGTCGCCACCTGGGCTCCAGCTACCACCTGACACTGGTGAAAGGTCCCCCACCCCTGGCCACCAGCAAGAAGGTGAGGGCTGGACTGACCCCTGACCCCTGACCCAAGCCTCTGTCCAGCCCCGACGGCCATAGCAGCTGGTGCCCCTCTGCCTGCAGGGTGACGCTGACATGGAGGACAGCGTGGATGCCAGGCAGGAAAAGGAGCCGGGCAGCCCGGCCGGTGAGGGCTGGCGAGGGAAAGCCACAGGGAGTGGCCAGGGGTGGCAGTGGCTTGGTTCATGGCAGTGGGGCTTCATCACCCCAGACTCGACCCCTGACCCCGGGCTGAACCTGACTCCGGCCCTGCCTTTAACCTAACCTGAGCTGAGCCCACACACAGACGCCCCTGACCTCTGACCTCAGGTGGACTCTGGCGCTGACCCCAGGTCAAGTCCTGCTGTCAAGTGCTTACCCCTGACCTCTCTGCCCACAGGAACGGGCACCTCCTGGGTGGCCAAGCCCCTCCCCCAGGGAGGCTGGGCTGGGAGAGGCGGCCTGGGAGCTGGGGCCGTGCAGCCTCCCACTGTCCCCCCGGGTGCGCCCCGGCTGCTGGCCCTGGTGCAGCGCTGGGCGCCTGGGGCGCGGCTGGTCCAGGAGCTGCCGCATGAGCTGGTGCTCGCGCTGCCCTCCGAGGGCGCCCTGGACGGCAGCTTCGCCGAGCTCTTCCGCGAGCTGGACCGGCGGCTGGGGGAGCTGGGGCTGGCCGGCTACGGCATCTCCGACACCAGCCTCGAGGAGGTGCGGCAGCCAGAGGCGGGGGGCGGGCTGCCTGGAGGAGGAGGCGGGGTCTGCTTGCTGACAGCAGGGCACCCCAGGGAGAGGGCAGGGCACTGCGGGGCTCCAAATACCCTGGGGAGGCCTGGGGGATACACGGTGTCCTACAGCTGGTCGAGGGGCTCCCTCCTGTGGGGCCCCGCACTCTGAGCCCCCGCTTTGTCTCCCCAGATCTTCCTGAAGGTGGTGGAGGACAATGCTGGGGACACAGACCCACAGGGTGCGGCTGCAGGTCCCTGTCCTTACCCCCAACCCTGGGCCAGAGTTGGACCTGGCCTCAGACCAAGTCCTGACCCCTGGCTGAGCCTGGCCCGAAGCACAGCCCTGAGCTCCAACCCTCGTTCCTGGCTCCTCTATCTGTGACCCTTGACCTTGACCCAGACCCCAGGCTGACCCCTGACCCTGGCCCCCGGTGGCTCCACAGATGGTGGCCGCAGGCCGCCCCCGTGCACCGGCACTGCTTACCTGGACACGGCCACGCGGCTCAAGATCCAGCCGGAGGAGTCAGCCCTGGAGAATGGGGCGCCGGGTGAGTGGTCCCTGCCCCAACCCTGTGGCCCCTCGCGGTCCCCCACGTCCTGATTACCGAGCCTCCCCTCCCCCACAGCCGGGTCAGCCCCGGAGACACAGGCCCTGCGGGGCTCCAGGCCGGACGCCGCAGGCCATGTGCAGGGCTGGGCGCTGACCCGCCAACAGCTCCGGGCCCTGCTTCTCAAGCACTTTCTGCTGGCCCGCCGCAGCCGCTGTGGCCTGTTCGCCCAGGTGAGGAGGGCGCGTGGGGGACGCCGCACCGGTCTCCACTCGGTGGCCTCAACCAACCGCCCGGCCCCGGGCGTGCCCCCCGCTCTGAGCACCTGCATTGCGAGCACTGGGGAGCCACGGATGGTCGTAGTGCAGGGGCAGGGAGGGCAGCTCACGGCCGGTCCCCCAGATGGTGCTGCCGGCCCTCTTTGTGGGTCTGGCGCTGGCGTTCAGCCTCATCGTGCCGCCGTTCGGACACTACCCGGCTCTGCGGCTCAGCCCCAGCATGTACGGCGCCCAGGTGTCCTTCTTCAGGTGGGCGCAGAGGAGGGGCTGGTGGGGGGGGGGCCAGGGGCCTGGGGATGCGGCGCTGACCCCACTCCCCACACACAGCGAGGACGCCCCAGGGGACCCCGAGCGTGCGCGCCTGCTCGAGGCGCTGCTGGAGGAGGCGGGACTACAGGACCCGTCCCCGAAGAACAGCTCCAGCGGGTGAGGCCCCCCGCCTGGACCCGGCCTCAGTTTCCCTCTCTGCGCCCTGGCCGTGGGCCTCGGGGGGCGCCCAGAGCATCCCCGTGCCTGCCAGGGAGCCCCCGGAGCAGGTGCCCACAGCCCACCCTGTCCCCCAGGACGCCCGCGTGCGTGCCGCCTGCCGCCTGCCACTTCTCGGTGCCCGAGGTTCCCGCCGACGTGGCCGCGGTCTTGGCCGGCGGC